AACTATTAGTCCAGACAAGTTACCAAAAATACAGTCAACCTTGCCTTAGCGACTTACTGATTTAGACCACTTCCTGCCGTATACGACCCTGTTTACGACCGCCTGACGTAAAAAAAAAATCTATATAAAGTCACTGACTGAATTAAAAGACTTCCTGTCTGACGCCACAAACGACCGTCATGTTTGCACCCGTGATAAAAATTATAAAGGAAATGTGAAATCAATCATCCATAAGATTGTGTATTCACAAGGGGCAGGACGTGAAGTGGTTGCACACTTGGTTCAAGCGAGCGAATTGGTTGCAAACTTGACAAATGGCAAACACGGCGTGATTTTTTGAAACGGGTGAACGAATTTTTTGCCAGGCAAGTGGGTTTCTTGTGTTATTTTGAAGTTCATTAGTATGTCTATTCCATAATGCAATATCTATGCCACACTCGGTTAAAGGTTTCAGCATCCTAGATTCTGTTTTTTGACGAAGTTATTGAAGATATAAACTGATCATGTAGATATTTTGAAATTTGACATGTGACTGTTCTGGTCGGTTTTTTCTCCTAATTTATTCGAATTTGTAAGTTTTGAACTGCATTTAACAATAACAAAATATGTTTCTGTCAATGCTGTACAAATGGTTTAGTTCGCAAGTCCGAAGATAACATTCAATACACAAAAATATATTGTTCAAGCACATTTTGGTTGCAGACTTATACTTCAAGCATTTTTGGTTGCAAACTTTTGTGTCAATAATGTGGCATGCATATTTTAAGCGATGAATAACTTATCTTTTTTTTTTTTAAAAAATAATTAGCAATATTTAGGCAATTTTACCCGTTCATCTAATAAGAAATATATATACAAATTGTGCATGCGTGCAGATATATCCTAACACAGGGTCTTTCAAATAGATATAAAACACAATATGCTAAATTGAAGTTCAGTTGTGTTTATCTTCATCATTTTTTCTCCTCGATATACTTCTTTTCTTTTTACATAGTCTTAGGACTTTTTTTATCTTGGCATGATTAACAGTAAAGGAAAAGAAGAAAAAAAATAGCAATAAACAACTTTCATTATTGTTCTTTTTTGAGATTTGAAATAAATTTGATTGTACTGCAGTATAGTAGATACAAACTACATTAACATTGACACAAGGGCATTATTCACATGTTTCTTTAACCTTTACCCCATGAGCATATTGCGATTGAAAAGCCTCCTGTAACAAGTTCAAACTGCTATGAAACTATGAAAAATGCTTTCACTACTAATGAAACTTGGCACAAATGTTGACTACACCATAGCCTCTGTAACAGCATGCTCAATGGTAAATTTCCTGTTACCATGGCCACGGGGGGACGTCTCAAAATTGCCAAAAATCACTATTTTGCATTGTTTTTTCCCATCAAAACTGATTTCAAAGTGCTGCAACTTCTCAATGAATTGAGATAGAGTAAAATGCTTTTCAGCGTCGGTTATTAGTTACCCTAAGATCGACCTGAGGCCATTTTAGCCTGTCACATGTCCAAAATTTTCTTGGCGATGAGGGGGACTGCCGCCCCCCTCTTAACCCCCAAATAGAAGGGGGCACATCCCCCTTTTGGCAACCCCCTGATGTAATATTTGGATGGGGGACGGCGCCGAAAAAGTGGTCACTTTTTAAACAACATTTCTCAAACGAAAAACGGTGTTTGTGGCCTAAATAGGGCATTTTTTCACTGTTTGAGGCCTCAAAAAAAGGGGGGGGGGGGCAATAAGCCGTCGAAACACGCTTATATAAGGGAAAAGGTTAAATTGTTCCTTATTATTGACCAATCGAAACATCTTCCAAATTCCCTACCTCGAACAATGACTTTAAGTAGTTTTGTCAATGTAAATTACCAATCGTATATCAGTTATATTATGATCTAATAGTCAAAATAATTTTTAGAATACCAATTGACATATATGATATGTACATCAAATCCGAAATATTGTAAACAAGCATTTCATTTTAACTTTTGGTTTATAAGTACATTTACATACTTTATGTCTAAAGCAACTGCTGATCTTTACATACGAAACAAACAAAATAACATTTATTGTGGTTTTGATAAACTTTGGAAATTTTGCCGAGTAACATCGTATGTGTGCACATGTCCTTCTGTTTATGATGAAAATAATTCACTTACAAACAGCAGTACTCTCACATACGTTTGTTTTGAATGCAGTTTTCATTCGATTTTACATATGATGACATATTTTAGAATTGAAGTATCAATAAATATTTTTCTTCTATGTGCTATTATTTTGTTTTCAGGCTTTTACTGATGATTATCGTATTGAACTGAGAACCATGTAATTTGAAACATAAAGTGCATACTTGTTGAAAAAGAAGAAAGTATAAATAACATTTATAACAAAAACAAGTAAAAGAACATAAATGTCAATAATTGCCATTGAAAATAGGTTAATAAATATAAACTACTACAATCCTTTTGCAAAGTTTTACTATGGATTTCAATAGAATAAGAATAAGTTTGCAACCAAAAATGCTTGAAGTATAAGTCTGCAACCAAAATGTGCTTGAACAATATATTTTTGTGTATTGAATGTTATCTTCGGACTTGCGAACTAAACCATTTGTACAGCATTGACAGAAACATATTTTGTTATTGTTAAATGCAGTTCAAAACTTACAAATTCGAATAAATTAGGAGAAAACCCGACCAGAACAGTCACATGTCAAATTTCAAAATATCTACATGATCAGTTTATATCTTCAATAACTTCTTCAAAACAGAACCTAGGATGCTGAAACCTTTAACCGAGTGTGGCATATATATTGCATTATGGAATAGACATACTAATGAACTTCAAAATAACAAAGAAACCTACTTGCCTGGCAAAAATTCGTTCACCCGTTTCAAAAAATCACGCCGTGTTTGCCATTTTGTCAAGTTTGCAACCAATTCACTCGCTTGAACCAAGTGTGCAACCACTTCACGTCCTGCCCCTTGATTCAGTAACTTATGAAAGAACATGAATTATACCATTTCCTCGTGCAATTTTGGCATACAATAAGGCCAAATAGATTGAATAAGAAAAATTGGGATATCCCTATGTAATTGTTGAAGAAAAAATCGTTTAAGCATGTTAAATTTTCACCTTAAACAAAGGAAACTACCTGTGGTCTAAGTCAGATAGATCGCTCGTACCAGTTGGATGTGAGATTTATCAACGAGCTGAAGCGAGTTGATAAATCTCACATCCAACTGGTACTCATGATCTATCCTATACATTTACTATTGGCATGAAAAGCGGACAATATATAGACAAAACACTTTATTTCAGTTTTATCTAATAATGGAATGATCCAAAGACCTGTTCACCTATATTATCAACTTTAAATAAAGTACCGTTATATATTCTTTACCTTTTTCAGTATAATGGTTTTGTCAGCGAAAACCAAAATATTGCGTTCGGACTGTTCTCACAATATATTTACAGTTATTATAATCGAAAATTCATCATAACTGATACAAAGATCTAGAGCTTAATGTTAGTTTGTAAAACGACTCATCTGATACGCCTTATTTATACATACATGACTGTTTTAAAGCATGAAATAACTTTGAGAGTATCCCCTGCCTGTCGGTTGTTCGCTCTCATTGTCCGTGTCCGTCATAATCCGTACAAGTCTAATAACAAGATAGTTGTCTCGTTATAACGAGATACTTAGTCGTTTTTACGAGATATTTATCTCGTTATTACGAGTTCAGTCACGTTTTTACGCTTTTGTTATTCGGCTTTCGTACTAATTTAAATAATCTTAAATGTCATATCTAACACAGGCTCACAGGAATCACAAGTTCCTTTTTGGTCATGATAATGAAATCATTATATCAAACTTACGTTTTTGAAACTCCCAAATGTCCTCCGTGATCTGATGCATGCATGCTCTGAATGATGTCATATGTCTTCCCTTTCTTAACAACTTGCAGACGTTTTGATGAGCTGGTTTTCTTATAATACAACCCGTCATCAAAAATAAAAGGTTTGCACTTTCTACGAAAATTCCTCTTTTTGTTCTTGTCTTTTACAGAAACGGGATACTTCCCAATCTTTCTCGTCCATGCTGCAAGGTTGGACTGACTGCTTACCACAGACCTTTATATATACACGCGTTTACGTAGAACTGCTTTCGGTGTCGCTGTCGTTTTTTTTTTGTTTTTTTTGATGTTGAACGAGCGGCTTTTCTGAGGTAAATCAAAGGAACTATTTTTAGAAATGATGCAGTCTGCATAAAACATAAAAAAAACACCGCTCAGTGACATCATGGACTTTGATGTAAGTCATGTCACGAACAGTGACTGCTTAAATAGCTCCTCAAAGCCTTGCATTTTTAAGACATTCGTTTTAAGCAATGCCTCCACGGTATGAACAAAGGCTATCTAACGTCAGATGAAGTAGAACAATGTTGTCTTTGAAGTTGAATCATATACGTTAAAGCGACTTATGTATATTGTATTACAATGATGATAATTTAAATGAAATTCAAATGGAAGCAATTTTATATTTCATTTCAATAGATGTAGACACAGCACATTCTGCAGCAGTAACATGCAGCGGCTCCAGAAGAAAAAACAACAACAACAACAAATATAAAAGCCATAGAAACACGACAGTAACTTGAATTGATATAGATATGTTAGTAACAGGCTAAGTGTGGGGTCAATATTTTACAGATAAAATGGGGGGGTCATTATTTTATAAGGAGAGTCAGTATTTTATAGAAAGGGGTCATTATTTTATATAGAATAATGACCGGGGGTCATTATTCTATGGGGGTCACTTTACAACGTTACACCGGCAACATATGTGGTTATAGTTTTTGAAGCCATGCCCCTCTCAAAACAATACGAAATAAAAAAGACAATATTCTGAATTGAAATTGGCCATTGTAATGACAGATTATATTCGGATAGAAATATCCGAAAAGCGTTCAACGCTGTATCGTATGTTGATCAAGTATTTGGCGCTAATCCACTTTGTAACAATGTTCGAGCTCTAAATCGAAGACGCTCCAAAGGAATTCTGGAACTGGGTGAGGTAGCTGATCTGCTTCCGGAGCTAATTCTCTGAATTTTTTCAACTGAAAACGTGACAATGCATCACAATTACATTATAAAGACCTGGGACATGAACTGCTTTCAATAAAATATTAAGTTTCATACAATGCAATACAAGAAGTCTTACAAGACACATTACTGTTTCAGACCTAGACGAAGCCTTATTCAAAATGTCTACAACTGCCATGTTATCGCAGTTAAATCTTATTTTTTATTTATCAATTTAGAACCAAAAATAAATATTGCCACAACAATTGGGAATAACTCCAAAACAGTGATATCGGCCGTAAGACCGCGTGAGTGCCAATCGTCTGGCCATTTCCCTTGGCACCAATGACTTTGAAAGTAAATTCGTAAACCACAATTGACACCACCCGCGCTGTCCGAAAATAATTCTACATCTTCGTTTGAAACCCAAAATTTGTCATGAAACACAGACACGCCATTACATTTCTTTAAAATATAAGCCATATGTTCAAGTCCCGTCGAACCTCTTTCTTTAATCGTACGCGGTGATACGACTTTGTCAGCCCACAAATTGAATTAATTAAACGTCTAATGAAAGGGCGACCAATAACAATAGCTCTACAACAAAAATGGAGTGAACCAATTAAAGATTGTAATTTTTAAAGAGTTGATTTCGAGTGTGATAACACCTCAAAAATTTTTTCTTTGATCTCCTCTATTTTTTCTGACGGAATTCTGATTGTCATTTGGTTTGTGTCAAGCTCTAAACCTAAAAAGACTAAAACCTCAGTCGGGCCTTCAGTTTTTTCCGATGCTAAAGGCACACCAAGCTCTGTCATTGTGTTTTGAAAGATATTTAATGCCTGATTGCATGATTCTGACGTCCTGTCACCCCCAAGAAAATCATCTAAATAATGTATCAATTTAGCTGACGTAAATTTCGATTTAACACTATATTCTAAAAATCTTGAAAATCGTTCAAAAGTAATACAGCTCACTGAAGCACCGAAAGGGAGCGCCTTGTCAAAATAATATTTATTATCAAAACAAAAACCAAGTAGCTCAAAATCATTCGGGGAAATTGGTATTAAACGGTAGGCGCTCTTGATATCTGATTTAAACAATTTGCAATGTTGACCTAATTCTTGAATCATTTTAACTGCTTCATCAAAACTTGTGTATTGTACTGAACATAAACTTGGATCAATGAAGTCATTAACAGATTTACCGGAGGGATATGATAAATGATGGATCATCCTGAATTCCCCCGGTGTTTTCTTTGGTACTAAACCGATCGGCGACACAATTAAATTTGGAAGAGGGCGTTCGTCGAAAGGGCCAGCAACTCTTCCTGCATTTCTCTCTTTTTCTATTTGCTCTTTAATTAAATCAGGCCTTAATAGAGATGACCGTAAATTTTTTGACTCACGTGCAACACGTGGCCCTGTGTATTGAATTGGAAAGCCATTGATAAAACCGTCTAATAAGAATTTTGCTTCTTTCTCATTATATCCTTTTAAATAGAACTTTAAAGCCTCAACGTTTACAGGAGATTTTGCCAAAGCGAATGAGTTAACATTAGTGTCAGAAAATGAAATGACCGGACTTTTATTTATTTTACTTTTTGTAATAGCCCCGTCCACTTTTAGCCCGTTGTGGCTGAAAATGTCTGCTCCGAGAGTTTTGAAATGACGACTGAGATTGACCGCTCGTCAAGCTTTGTTTGTTTGAAGAATTTGAAGTTTGACAGTTGACTGCTGGGTGGGGAGCAAAACACGTGGCACAAACATGGGAAAAACGGCAATTCGGCCAAGAACATTTTCCCGCATTAAAGTCATTACACGTAAACCTATAAGGATTCGATTCAAGGGGCAGGACGTGAAGTGGTTGCACACTTGGTTCAAGCGAGCGAATTGGTTGCAAACTTGACAAAATGGCAAACACGGCGTGATTTTTTGAAACGGGTGAACGAATTTTTGCCAGGCAAGTGGGTTTCTTTGTTATTTTGAAGTTCATTAGTATGTCTATTCCATAATGCAATATATATGCCACACTCGGTTAAAGGTTTCAGCATCCTAGATTCTGTTTTGACGAAGTTATTGAAGATATAAACTGATCATGTAGATATTTTGAAATTTGACATGTGACTGTTCTGGTCGGTTTTTCTCCTAATTTATTCGAATTTGTAAGTTTTGAACTGCATTTAACAATAACAAAATATGTTTCTGTCAATGCTGTACAAATGGTTTAGTTCGCAAGTCCGAAGATAACATTCAATACACAAAAATATATTGTTCAAGCACATTTTGGTTGCAGACTTATACTTCAAGCATTTTTGGTTGCAAACTTTTGTGTCAATAATGTGGCATGCATATTTTAAGCGATGAATAACTTATCTTTTTTTTTTAAAAAAATAATTAGCAATATTTAGGCAATTTTACCCGTTCATCTAATAAGAAATATATATACAAATTGTGCATGCGTGCAGATATATCCTAACACAGGGTCTTTCAAATAGATATAAAACACAATATGCTAAATTGAAGTTCAGTTGTGTTTATCTTCATCATTTTTTCTCCTCGATATACTTCTTTTCTTTTTACATAGTCTTAGGACTTTTTTTATCTTGGCATGATTAACAGTAAAGGAAAAGAAGAAAAAAATAGCAATAAACAACTTTCATTATTGTTCTTTTTTGAGATTTGAAATAAATTTGATTGTACTGCAGTATAGTAGATACAAACTACATTAACATTGACACAAGGGCATTATTCACATGTTTCTTTAACCTTTACCCCATGAGCATATTGCGATTGAAAAGCCTCCTGTAACAAGTTCAAACTGCTATGAAACTATGAAAAATGCTTCACTACTAATGAAACTTGGCACAAATGTTGACTACACCATAGCCTCTGTAACAGCATGCTCAATCTCAATTTTCCTGTTACCATGACAACAAGGGGACGACTCAAATTGCCAAAAAATCACTATTTTGAGTTGTTGTTATTTTTTCATCAAAACTGATTTTTAAAGTGCTGCAACTTCTCAATGGATTGAGATAGAGTAGAAGGCTTTTCAGCGTTGGTTCCACGTTACCTTAAGATCGACCTGAGGCCATTTTAGCCTGTCACATGTCCAAAATTTTCTTGGCGATGAGGGGGACTCCGCCCCCCTCTTAACCCCCCAAACAGAAGGGGGCACATCCCCCTTCTGGCAACCCCCTGATGTAATATTTGGATGGGGGACGGCGCCGAAAAAGTGGTCACTTTTTAAACAACATTTCTCAAACGAAAAACAGTGTTTGTGGCCTAAATAGGGCATTTTTTCACTGTTTGAGGCCTCAAAAAGGGGGGGGGGGGCAATAAGCCGTCGAAACACGCTTATAAAAGGGAAAAGGTTAAATTGTTCCTTATTATTGACCAATCGAAACATCTTCCAAATTCCCTACCTCGAACAATGACTTTAAGTAGTTTTGTCAATGTAAATTACCAATCGTATATCAGTTATATTATGATCTAATAGTCAAAATAATTTTTAGAATACCAATTGACATATATGATATGTACATCAAATCCGAAATATTGTAAACAAGCATTTCATTTTAACTTTTGGTTTATAAGTACATTTACATACTTTATGTCTAAAGCAACTGCTGATCTTTACATACGAAACAAACAAAATAACATTTATTGTGGTTTTGATAAACTTTGGAAATTTTGCCGAGTAACATCGTATGTGTGCACATGTCCTTCTGTTTATGATGAAAATAATTCACTTACAAACAGCAGTACTCTCACATACGTTTGTTTTGAATGCAGTTTTCATTCGATTTTACATATGATGACATATTTTAGAATTGAAGTATCAATAAATATTTTTCTTCTATGTGCTATTATTTTGTTTTCAGGCTTTTACTGATGATTATCGTATTGAACTGAGAACCATGTACATGTAATTTGAAACATAAAGTGCATACTTGTTGTAAAAGAAGAAAGTATAAATAACATTTATAACAAAAACAAGTAAAAGAACATAAATGTCAATAATTGCCATTGAAAATAGGTTAATAAATATAAACTACTACAATCCTTTTGCAAAGTTTTACTATGGATTTCAATAGAATAAGAATAAGTTTGCAACCAAAAATGCTTGAAGTATAAGTCTGCAACCAAAATGTGCTTGAACAATATATTTTTGTGTATTGAATGTTATCTTCGGACTTGCGAACTAAACCATTTGTACAGCATTGACAGAAACATATTTTGTTATTGTTAAATGCAGTTCAAAACTTACAAATTCGAATAAATTAGGAGAAAACCCGACCAGAACAGTCACATGTCAAATTTCAAAATATCTACATGATCAGTTTATATCTTCAATAACTTCTTCAAAACAGAATCTAGGATGCTGAAACCTTTAACCGAGTGTGGCATATATATTGCATTATGGAATAGACATACTAATGAACTTCAAAATAACAAAGAAACCTACTTGCCTGGCAAAAATTCGTTCACCCGTTTCAAAAAATCACGCCGTGTTTGCCATTTTGTCAAGTTTGCAACCAATTCACTCGCTTGAACCAAGTGTGCAACCACTTCACGTCCTGCCCCTTGCGATTGGTCACGTAAAACTGGTCTAACTTGTACACAGCGCCACCATAACTCATTGTTTATTTTCGACCATGATTGAGGAGCAATGGCCTGTCTTAGACGAAATTGCTCGTCGTAAGTCCTCCATGAAAGACCACCCTGGCGCGAGGCACAATCTCTGATATTAAACATATAATGCAAAATTTCATAGATTTTGTCAGCGTGTGATGATAAATAAATGGACGCATATATAATAAATGCGTTTGTCCATTTCTCAATGCAATTGATCTGCTCTTTACATTCTTTTTGAGCGGATTCTATGTGACCTTCACTATCTAACTTAAACACCGTCCCTTTACAAAATTCTGAAAGCTCGACTGCCCCTTTCAATAATAACATCAAATTTACATATTCACCTCTACAAATTTTTTGTTTAAGAGATGTTGGCACGTGCGCCGCCAAATCATCATCGGCTAAACGTATTCCAGGCAAAACATTTAAAATATCGTTGGAATGATTCGCAGTAGAACTATCTAAACCCACAGATTGTAACATATTGCCACACCCCGTAGAAACATTATTTGCAGCAGAACCAACGTTATCGGTCAAATTTTTTGGAATAATATTCGAAGCCCTTATTATCTGCTCAAAATCTACTACGTTTGACTCACCAGCGTTCGTTTGCGACACCCTCTCGTCAACAAAATCTTCCAACGGGACCTCTGCCGTTCGTTTCCTCCCTCTGTTTGAAGGTTGTTGGCTCCTTGTTGCGCTCCTTGCTGGCTCGGGCTGCCTGGCGGTGTTGTTCCGCGACAGTCTTTGTGGACGTACGCATCCGCGGCCACGTGGCATAATTTGACAATGTAGATAGCAGATAAATGTTTTAAACCAGTCAATCTGTACTGCAGACGTGTAAAGAGTGAGTTTCTGCACGGGTTTTGCCTTATATATACCATACCGGGTACACGTTATGCTCGACTAAGAAAAAAACTATCGAGCGTAACCAGATAAATTGTTTATCAACAAAATATAGCAGACGATTTATAAAGCTGACGGGGCAGTATAGCAGACGACTAATATTTACAGCAGACGATGTTTTCTAAATAAAATAAATGAAATTATTTTAATATTAAAATAATTTGTATTAATTTCATATGGTATTTTTAAAGAAGTATCTGACCTAAAAAATTTTTTTTTTTATTTTTATACTATGTATTTTCTTGAATAAATTCATGCAACGGTTAAACATTTAGTTTTTTATATAAAAACTTAAAATGTGAACATAGTGTGTACTGGGGGAAGTGTACTTGTGAATGATTGTTTTATACATATACTTGTATACTTGTAGTTGTAATAGTAGAGGAAACTAAATTATAATTTATTATATGTAGCAGTTAGACTTGTGCTAAATGTACAAACAAGCAAACTGAAAGATTTTTTTTGCCCCAATTATAGGGTGGGGGGGGGGCATTTAGATTTACCCTTGTCCATCTGTCCATCCGTCCGTCCATTCTCTTTTTGTGTCGCACGTAGCTCAAACAGTAATTGACCTAGAGTCATGAATCCTTACAAGAATGTTGCTAAGCATGTGTATTTGTGCACCTGTGTATTTTCGTGTGGATATTTTTAGTATTTTTAGAGTTATTGCCCTTGACTTAGTAAAAATTTACAATATTCAACTTGTGTTGCATGTAACTCAAGAAGTATTTGACCTGTAGGCCTGAAAGTTAGTTTACAACATGTTGGTCTGCATGTGTACTTATGCACTTAAGGGTTTTCTAGCAGATTTATTCAGTATTTGTAGAATTTGCCCTTAACTTAATAAAAGATTTTTAGTTTTCAACTTGGGCACATGTAGGGAAAAAAAATTGACCTAGAGACATAAGATTGACAAATCAGTGGAGTGTGGGGGCACTCTTGTCCTATGGACACATTTCTAGTTTTCTTTTAAATTGTTAAGAAAATAAAGAAAAATAAATGCTAACAACGATGTCAAGGCTTGATTATTTTTGCTGACTTGAGCACATAGTTTTGAGAGGTAAGCTTTTGTCATTGCAATGCGTTTGTCTTTTGTTGTTATTAACAATTTATTTATGCATTTCCTAAAAGTTTGATTTGTGATAACTTGTGTAACATAAATTATTCACAGATGTTATTCATACTTGGACAAAAGAACACACAAGACAAAACCAACAGTTTTCAGTTATTCTGATATGACCTAGGCCTTTAATTGACTTTGCTTGTCGAAGTTTATATGATCAAAAATTTTAAAAATTAAGACAATACCTTTCCAAAGGTTTGATTATTTGTATTTATTTTGCCTCCTAGCATACCAATTCAGATTTACAGTTTATATTGCGACAAGATTAGTGGTTGTCAGCTGATATAACTCGAGTCACTAGGCCATATTTAAATTTTAAATATGCTAATAATAAAAAAAATTGTATAATTACTTTTAATGCATCAAATTTATTAAATGAGAATACATGACTTCTTTTCTAAAGTTATAGGCCTATTATAGTTACTTCCATTCAAATCTTGTGAAAACTTTCAGCAGTTTGGATGTATGATAATCTTAGTTCTAAAGTGATGATATACAACTTTTTTCTGTTAAAGGAACTCCATTGAGGTTTATAAGCCGAACACATAACATTTTATTTTTTCACACAGATAAACATGAGCACTTTAAACAGAAATATAAATAAAATATATACAAGACATATACAAGAAATACATTGAAAATAGTTTGTGCTATTCTCAGTAAGATTTGAGTGAAAAGCGTTTAAATTAATTTTGGGTCATTTTTCGCTATTATAATAATTATTTTGGAAAAACAGAGCGAGCTAATGATCTGAAATAAGTTATTAATAGATCTTCATCAAATGGAGTAATAATCTAAAAAAAACAAAACTTTCCAGTCCCGTCATGTCAAAAAACCTCAGTGGAGTCCCTTTAAGAATGTTTGACAACATTGAGCTACATAAAACTGATTACTGACATTGAGGGAATAAATGAAATTAATAATTGACATGTCTACACTTTATGTACAACTTGTTAATTACCGTGTATAAATAATAAGCTTATATCAATTATAAATATGTCTCGGAAATAAGCAACAATTAAATTTAAGTCGGTTTGGTTAGTTCATTTAGTGATTTAAACGGATTCTAAACCTGACCGAGATATATTACAAAGTCAGTCACATCATTGAATTATCTTGTAATCATTGAGCGAAATATTCTTTATGTTTAGAACACTTTGTATATTAAAGCTGCACGCCTCCAGATGAGCAAATATATTTCAATAAAATCAAACCTGAGAAAAATGTTCTAAGATTTTTGGATAAGTATAAAGATTCAAAATTCTAGTAATAATTTACATGTTATTAGCGATTAATTACCAATTTTTCAGTATTTATAACTATATTTCTACTGCGTTGCTAATGCGGTAAGGTCAATTTTTGCATATTTTTTTACCTCTTTATAGCAATGTACAGGACATTGGGTTATTAAGTGCCATTGATAATGTGTAAATTGCATTATTTTGGTAACTTAACAATATTATACTGCTTAATACATTTTCAAATTTTCATGAAAATTAGCGTGCTGCTTTAAGCATATATTTACTACATGTATATAGTAAAAGTGCTTGAGCAGAACATGTATGTTCGGAAACTTGGGTTCTACTTCAAATAAATCTAAACGAGTATGCGCCTTTAACTTTTATTTCGTTGATAAATGTCGATAAGCGTTGATAAGCGATTTTCTGAAAATATTCATTTATAATTTGTACTTCGCAATAAATAATAAACATAAAAACATTCACATCATCAATAAATTACATATGAATTACACAATAAATCTAATTAGAACTTTTGTACCTTTAAATTTAAATCTTACTGTAAATTATCTTTTAAAATAACTGCATTATTTTGTTAAATTAAACATACCGATTTTGACTTGTCTCAATACATCAAGTTCCAGATTTAAACTGACGAGATTCTCAAAAACAAAACAAAAATGATGACGTCGACGTTAACATCTTACGTCACGTAAAGTAGCGTAACCTATTGACGCTATTAACTACGTTCACAAAGAAATCAATACGTTTCTAACAGTCCTTGCCATGAAATTACTCTTAAATTTCATCAAAATTCTAAATAACTAGTACAAATGTAGTACATGTACAATAAAGAGACAAATTTGACCTTTTAAACTTAAATATACGAGGGGTTATCCAAAAATTCGTGGACTTTCTTTGTTGCGTAAGATATATTTGAGATATTAATTTGAAATTATTACACTGCTTAGAAGAATTAATAACAAATTAACACAGAAAAATTCATGTGAGTAGCTTTTTACATTTCAACAATATTTAATTTTACATAACACATGTCGGCGACAGCGGCGCACTCCAAAAAATTATTGACGTCAACGTCATAATATTAACGTACAACGTGTGCTTCAACGTTACGCAGTCAATGACGGTTACTGCTTCTCAAAGTAATGTCCATCACTAAATATCTTATGACCCTTTAACACTAATGGTCGTGAAGTTTTCTTTTCTCTGTTCGTCTGCTGATTTTTATCAAATGTTTTTATAGGTGTCATCCCCAAATTACAACAAAAATTTATGATCGATATATGATCGTGGGATTTTCTAATTACCGCGTGTCCGTCATTTTCCCGTTGTAAACCATAAAGGCGTCTGGCGTTTCTAGCGATATAAACAATCAAAGGTCTGCAAGCTCTGTGGTATTTTCTGATCCCTGCAATCTAAATCGTACTGTATATCTGTATGTGTTTTCCCGTATAAGTTTATTTTTATGTACTATAAATCATCTTGCAGGGCACCAGAGTTGGATACATACGGAATTTTGCATAACTAGAGTTGCATCAAAAAATAATTTATGTTCATTTTTTATGATAGCCACACTTTATCCTTGCATATAGGGGCTATTTATAACAAAGACACTAAAAAAAAGAATTTAAAATGATGTTGACTCGACTGGGATTTGAACTCCAGACCTCTCACACACTAAACGAACGCCTTACCCCTGCACCACGGAGAAGTTATACAAACAACGTCTGAATAATATCAAGTCATTCTTAATTTAGAACTTCCATTGCATTTCGGGTTTGTAATCCTTATTAATTTCGAGGTATTCTGTTCAGGATAAACCTGTTGTTTAAAATTTCTTATTTTCGAATTGTTCCATTCTTGAATCGAGTGCTTTAATTGACGATCACCGCTCACAAGATTTGTTCCATTATCACTGAACACCTTCTTCGGATATCCTCTTCTAGCCGTAAAACGCTGAAATGCTGCGACGAAGGAGTCAGTTGTCAAAGTGTGTGTAACTTCAAGATGTACTGCTCTAGTTGCAAGACACGTGAAGAGACAACCGTATCTCTTTACATGTGTATGCTCTGCTTTTACAATAAGTGGTCCAAAGTAATCAATACCTACATTCGTGAACGGAGGTTCATCTGGTGTCGTCTGCTCGGGTAGGAGAGGGGCCATCTGTTGAGTCATCAATGTTGTCGTCTGCATATAATGCAGTTCTTTACAATATATTTCACTGCACTAGGTCCCTGAAGTATCCAGTATTTTTCACGGGATGCGGCTAGTACATGCTGTTTCCCGGCGTGACCATTATTTTCATGTATATGTCGTATTATCAATCTTGTCACGGTATTTTTATTGGGTAGTTTCACTGGACAATTACTCTGGTTGCGAGATTGAAGTCGACCCTGTACCCGAATGAGGTCATCATATATCATAGGATTAAATGAGGCTATATAACTGTCCTTTTTGACCGGCTTAGAATTTTGTAAATTGTTAATTTCACTGTAAAATGCTGTTTTCTGTACATACAACATTATATTATGCTCTGCTGTCTGGATTTCTTCTAATGTTAAGTTGCTATTAACCATTTTCAACTTGTGTTTTAGGTATCGCTGTCTGCAGAAATTCTTGTATCTTAGCAACCATGCGACTGCTCTTCTTAGTTTCGTCCAGCTACAATAGCGATCTATAATGCTATCTAGGCATTCAGCTGCAGAAGTTTTATTAATCAGGA